ACACAGAAACTTAGATATCTAAAAGTAAGATTAATTTCTATTAGGCATCCATTCCATTAAAGTGAAAGCTCAAGATGTCAGTCTAAATGTTCAAAAGTATTTATCAAAATGCAACTGGTAATGCAGATATTTCAGGACTTTCTACTGCACAGTTCCTATTAATATATATGTGTTAATGAAGTTTTGTTGCTTAAAATTGCATGGAGAAGCAGAAATCCAAGATTAAAAAAATATATTACTTTTTATTTTTTAAGTTTTTCTACTTTCAGATGAAATATGAAAATTTAAAACCTATCAAAATTCTTTGAAACAAAGGAAAATCTCCCTGGCTATTGTAAAAATGAGAGTTTAATTTTTAATATTTATTTATATGCATATATTTGTATTTGCAATGCTAGGCTAAAAATAAATTATTAATTTTCAAAATGAAAACTGGAAAATACTGGAAAAAATCCATGCTGGACTTTTCAAAGCTCTCAGGCTTCTTTAAAAAAATAAATTAAATTTCTAGATAATTTATGGCCTTTTCCAGTTTTTAAGAAAAATGATAATTTTCTGTGGAGAATTTATTTCATGCAGTATTTGTAAGCAGCTTTAGTAATAACATAAACCTCAGTCTGTAGGAGTTGGATGAATCCTCCTTAACAGCTGTATGAGAGTATAATTTCCAGTATCAACTGAGAATTGGTGGTGAAAAGAAATCTTATTTCTGTCCAATTCCTTCCACTTGGAGACACAGGAAACCTTGAATGGGCAAAAATGGAATTATCCAGGCTGTAATGGCAGCACAGATGGGTGGTACTTAAGGCAAAACAAATTATTTTGGTTTTTCCACCTTGAGTCCTGAGCTGCGCCCCCAGGGCTGTCACCAAACCCTCTGGTGTGTCCTTCCTGCCTCTCGCTGTCACCCCAGAGCTGCAAGGTTTGAATTGCAGGTGTGCCTGCTGCTTTGGGGTTACCTGTGGCATTTGAACTCTTGGGTTGGTGTTTGTCTTTCCTCCTAGGGAGGAAAAACTAACAAAAGGATTGGGAAAAGAATTGGAATTCCAAAAGGATTCTAAAAGAACTGGAATCAACCAGCACCTGCTGCTGGCCTGGTCTGCTGTACCACCTGCCTTTGTTACCTTTTGGGTTTTGTCTTTTTTTCTTTTTTAACTACAGGCTTGCATACCAGTGGGAAAAAGAGATCCCCAATCTTGCCAACTGGCACAACTTCTTATCAGATCCAGTTCTTTCTCCAGCTTGTTCAAAATGAAAGGCTGATTCAGCCTGGGGAAGGGAAGGCTCCAGATCTTCTAGCACTTTTTAGTGCCTAAAGGTGCTACAAGAGAGCTGGACTTGTGGAAAGGGCATGGAGTGACAGGACTTTGACATTTGTAAATGGCTTTACACTCCCAGAGTGCACTGTTACAGAATCACAGAAATTTTAGTGTTGGAAGGGAGCCCTGGAGATCCTCCAGTCCAACCCCCTGCCACGGCAGTGTCACCTGGAGCAGGTGACACAGGAATGTGTCCAGGTGGGTTTGGATGTCTCCAGAGACGGAGACTCCAGGGCCTCCCTGGGCAGCTGTTCCAGTGCTCTGCCACCCTCAACATAAAGAAATTCCTCCTCATGCTGAGGTGAAGCTTTGTGTTGTTTAGTTTATGGCCATGAGTCCTTGTCCTGTCTTTGGGCACCACTGGAAAGAGTCTGGCACCACACTGTGGCCCCCTGCCTTGCAAATATTTATATGGACTGATGAGATCCCTCTTATTCTCTTTTCCAGACTAAAAAATCCCAAATTCTAGAGTATCTCCTCATAAGGGGGATGCTCCAGACCCTTCATCGTCTTTGTGGCCTCTGCTGACCTTCTCCAGTAGCTCCTTGTTTAAATTGCACTGAGGAGCCTGGGTTAGATTTTAGGAAGAAATTCCATCCTGAGGGGATGGGCAGGCCCTGGCACAGGGTGCCCAGAGCAGCTGTGGCTGCCCCTGGATCCCTGAAGTGCCCAAGGCCAGGCTGGATGGGGCTTGGAGCAACCTGGGACAGTGGGAGGTGTCCCTGCTGGATAGGGATGGGTTTTAGGGTCCCTTCCAACCCAAACCATGCTGAGATTTCATGAAAATCCAGTCAGGAATGGCAGCAGGAAGCCATGGGCTGGTGAGGTGTGTCTGCTTCCAAGAACCTGCTCAGTCTGACTCAGCTTGATGTTCTTACTGGCAGTTTATAGTAAGACATATAATTAAATCTCTATAATAGTTTCCCAATTCCCAGGAGAGTTTAAATGATAAGTTTAAAAGATGTAATTCCATCAGAATAAGAAATATTGAAGTGACTGTGAATTGTGAGATAGAATTTTGGCACTGTGTGTTCCATCCACAATCATTACCCATGTCTGCATGTTATGCAGATAATGAAATCAACTCTCCCAAATAAAGAGCTAAGTGACCTGGGGAGAAAATGAAAAATCAGTCTTAGATGGGTGAATACTGAAGACTTGCAAGGGAGCCTGACTACGAATTGGGGAAAACAAAATTCTGTCTATTTATCTATATTTGTATTTTTCATCATCAAAACACCTCTTGTAGGTTATTTTCTGAAAAATCCTTTCCTTAGGATTTTTTCTCCTGAGAAGCTGGGAGGCCTCAGGAACAAAATGTAAACATTGATTATCTGCTGCTGTGGAATGCAACAGGTGCATCTGTGATTGGTCTCATGTGGTTGTTTCTAATTAATGGCCAATCACAGTCAGCTGGCTTGGACTCTCTGTGCAAGACAAGCTTTTGTTATCATTCCTTCTTTTTCTATTCTTAGCTATCCTTCTCATGAAATTTTTACTTCTCTTCTTTTAGTACAGTTTTAATATAATATATATCATAAAAAAATAAATCAAGCCTTCTGAAACATGGAGTCAGATCCTCGGCTCTTCCCTCATCCTAACCCTGTGAACATGGTCACAGGTTATCTAGTTTTATGAGTTAATTTTAAACATCCAAAGTCTGAAAAGCAAGCTTTAAAAGGGATTAATTAAGACAAAAGGCATGATGATATTCAAAGTTGGTTGTCTCTGCAATGACTTTGCCCAGAACAGAAAGACTGAAACAGTGGGACACTGTAATCTCCACTGCAGCTCATTTCCTCTGCATCTTCAGGCCTCCCTCCCCAGCCATCAAACCCAGCCCTCAGTGACACCCTCACATCCTGGAATTTAGCAGGGAAGCACAGGCAGGTCTGGGCAGCCACACTCAGGTACTCTGCTGATTATATTCATGTGATGAAGCAGAGCATTGATCATGATTTACAGTCAGGATGCACATTGTTGAAAGCAGGCTCTATCTTCCTCTATGTTTGTGCAAAAGCCAGCACAATTATGATTTAATCTTGATTAGTTTACTAGCAACTGCCACAATTTAATAAACATTATACCTACGTGATTAACTTCCATAAATATCAGAAACTGCACTAAAAGCTTCATCTCCCAGCAGGAAAATACAATATCTGTGCTTCATGTTACCCACATCTAGAATTCCAACCTCTCTGAGCCTGAACATTCCAGGAGGGTGAACACACATGAGAAGCTTATTAAGACAGGTGCCATTTTTATATCACGTTTCAGAGTAATTTGGCTTTAGGGATGAGTAATTCAGGCAACTGCTGAGAGCCTCACACAGAACTCACTCATGTGTTAGTCTGCTACTTCCTTGAAGCAGTGAGAACAGAGGTGGGAGGCAACACATGGTGCCAGCTCCACTGCAGAGCTGAGGATCCCACAAATCTGGAGGTCAGAACAGCAGAGATCTCTCTTCTGTCATTAGCTGAGCAGCAGATGTGATGCCAGGCTTTATATAGGAGACTCAGTGATTCATATTGTCTCTAGGTCCACTGCAATGGGTTTATTTGGCAAAATAAGCTCTGAGAAGATGATCCTCAAACACGTCTGCTAAAGGTTAGGAAGGAAGAGCTGAAGTGAGCTGAGTTTCAGCACTGATTTCAAAATGCCTACAGGGGCCACTCTCTCCAAAATTATCGTGCTGCAAATAGGTACCTGAAGATACATATAAATCTTTACTTGGTTTGGCAGTTTTCTGGATTTGGGATCATTTTCAATGAGGCCAGGTAGAATTTTCATCATCATCATCATTATTATTATTAAATTTTTACAAAAAATGTAGAACTGGCATCATCTCAAAAGGAGAAAAAAGACCTAAAACGAGGCAATCTGTCCTGCCTTAACTTGCAGGTATATAGAGAAACCTCTCCCTTTTGGTTGCCAATCTCCTTTCACTTCTTTTCCATCTCAAGCTTTTTGAATTAACCTTTCTTTCTTATCACAAAACACAAGGATAAATGTAAGAGAAAAAAAGCCAAAATGTATGGTTTAAGCAAGGTTTTGCAGTTATTCATAAAATCATAGGATGGTTTGGGCTAGAAGGGGCATTTAAAGGTCACCTGGTTTATTTCCCTGTGCCATGGGCAGGGCCACCCTCAATGAGACCAGGCTGCTCAGACCCATCCAATCTGGCCTTGAGTGTTCACAGGGATGGGACATCCACCTCTCTGGCAAAACTGTTATTTATTATGACTTTCTGTATCTTTACTTAATACAGAACCTTGGAAGTTCTCTTTGAATATATTTTACTCTTACAATTTTTCATATTCTGCACATCTTTCCTGTTACTCCAGTGAGAGTATTCAAATAAAACACAAATAAGCACATATGCCAGTGTTTTTATGACTGGGATTTTGAGCTGCCAAGGCAGGGAAGGTCTGGACAATCTGCCTCCCCTCCCACATGGAAAGACCATTGGGGGTTGCACTTGGAATGCATTTCCTTCTCCCCTTTTTTTTTTTTTGTCACAGGAAATGTTGCTACTTTCCTTAATGTCATGCGCAATGTAGAGCCATATCTAAATGAGGACACCAATTCTTCACACCTCCTAATGTGGAGAAACCAGCCTGAGGTTGGAAAACAATGATTTCCTTGGAAAAATCAGGAAATGTTATCAAAAGCAGGGCTCACCTGTCTCCGAAGGTCTCGTGTTTTCTTGGTCATCTTGTCAATGGCAATGTTGAGTGGGTCTCCCTTCTCCTTCCTTCCAGTCTGTTAAAAACACAAAATTTTAGAGTTAGAGAAAAATCCTCCAGGCAATATAAACTTAAAAAATAATGATAAGGATTCATCAAAGGAAATTATTGCAGCTGTTTTGTTTGCTACCATCAAGTTGTTATTTCCAAAGAAATGTTTTTAACATGTTTATGTGCAGGAGGCACAGAAGATGATTTTAGAACAATCCTAAAGTGATAAGAACAAAGATTAAGGTGACTCACCAGAGAGTTCAGAACTTTTCCACCAATAAATTATGTGCATATATTATAGCTAATACTCAAAAAAATCTGGCAAGACCTTTCACTATAAAATGAATATTAAGAGTTTCTAATCTCCATCCTGCCAAGCACTGGGAATGTTAAACATGATAATAAGCAGCAACACAGCTTGAGGACAGAAGGAAAATGGTCCCTACGCCTGTAACAGGAATCATATTGGCAGACATTAGGTTCAGTGTAAAGAAGAATTCCACTTAAAACACTTTCCTGCAGGAAGTCTCAAAGCAAAACTCCTCGCCAAGATTAAAAAGGGGGAAAAAAACCTTTTGTGTCTCATAAGCAATGGGGGAAAAATATGGTTTGCAGGTTCAATGGCACAAAAAGCATTAAGTGACTTTGTTAGCTGTATTACCTTTCTCTTAAGAGAAAACTACTTCTCTAAAGATTTGTCACATCTTTTGCACATTGAACTCTGTTTGAAAGCTTTTCATCAAGAATCAAAATGATCTTCCATTCTTTCTGGCAGTACTCTTTCCTTCCCAAGGCTGTTTTCAAATGCTCCTATTTAGAATTGTTCCTTGCATATGATTAAGAGCGATTTTCTCCCTCCAGCTGAGCCTAATAGCACACGTTTCTGGGAGCTATTGAGAAGTCACTTTTGGGGTGGGATGGGGATTAAAGACAACCTTTCAATGGAACCCTCTCACACGTACAGCACAGTTATCAGCCCTCTCTGTTGCAGTCTTTGCTTTAGGCATTCAATCCAGGGAACGCCTGCTTCTGTTACTGCCTGTAATTCTAATTATGACACGAGGCCAAAGCTTTTATGAGCATTTAAAAATCTGTAAAAGCCATCCCCTTCCTTTTATTTAGAAATTCAAACATAACAATATCAAGTGCCACCAGAATTTAATACAAAACATAAATTTACCTCTTAGCTTTCTAAAAAGGATCCATTACAAATTCTGGAGTTATTCACACAAATTGACACCAGAAAACAGGGAGAGAAAGCATTTGCTATCACATCTGTGTCACCCACTGATATTTTTATCTCACTTTTCTTGTGTTCATCCTTTGACTGAGTTCTTCTGGTCCCCAGCTGAAGAACCTCATCTCTTTAGCCTGAGCAATGCCAGCACAGGCTTTTGGTTTCAGATGTCCCAAATTCAGTCCCTGGTATTTTGTTCAAGACAGCAGGTGTCATATCTGCACACAATCGAGCCTGTTTTTCAAGCTGAAGTTTCACAATAAAGCTGAGGCACAAAAGTTTGGTTCAGGAAGCCTCTCCTGGAATGGCAGAGCAGGGACTGCCAGATGAGCCAGCCTCAGCCAGGTTCTGGTTTGTTAGAATACAGAGATACAGGCTAAGAAAACTTAGAAAAAAAGAGAATTACCCCAGCTGTGTGCTGTGCAGCTGCTGAACCAAGCTTCCTTGGTGACATTCATGTTCTGGGATGCTCTATTTTCCCAGTCAAACAATTCAATTTATCTAATATTCTTTAAATTCTTCTCATTGTTTAAGCTTTAATGGACTGGCTTAGAAGGATCCATAACCACAGAAGACATGTTAAGACTTTTTTTTTTTAGGGCAAAGATAACCTTTGTTTGGCACTTTTTCTTACCTTATTTTAAAAAAAATCAGGGAATAATTTACTAAACAGGCCAAAATTCCTGCGAGACTAGCACAATGTGAATAATCGAAGAGCAAACACCAAGACACTGAAGACTACACAGGGATGGTATTTTACAGATGTCAAATAAAACAAGTGGTCCACAATTCCCCTTCACTGACCTCATGCAGGCACCTATATTTTGCATTCACCACCAACATGGTGAGGTCAAGGAATTAATGCCTGGCACCCACCCAGGGGGTCAGAAAGTTGTCCTTGAGCAGGAACTTGGGAATCCTTCCAGGGTAGTCAGCTATGGGATACAGTGACACTAAATAAATTAAGCGTTTGATAAACTGCACCATTTAGAGGAAAAGGTTCCTAGGCATTGAAAAAAAGTAGAAATTTTGAGATTGACCTCAAAGTTGGTAATTTAGGTTCCTAATCTGGGTGGTTTTTTGTTTCATAGGTGGGAACTCTCAGTGAGAGCAGGCTCGTGGCAGCCTAGATCCAGCACCCCTCCTAAACCTCCCTTCAAATTTATCTGGTAACTTTTCAACTCCAGTTTTAAATAAACAGTGTTTATATAAACAGTGGCCCTTAAGGTACATCCTATTGTGAAACACAAAACAACTGGGAACCCTTCTGTGACCCTTAGGCCACGCAACACAAACTGTCCGCATCCATCTGGCCAGGCCCTTGTCCTTCTACAGCAGAGCAAAGCCTGTTCCACATTTCTGTGTGCAAATGCCCAAACTGTGCCTCAGTGCTGCCTGAGATGCTAAATGGGATGTGCTGGAAAGCTAAACCAAAACAAGAGATCCAGCTGAGCTCTCTCAATGGCAGTATTTCATTACCTCACACAAATATGGCTGAAATCTCCCATTCTGCACCATTTTTATTTATGTGGGGATTTTAACTGACCTTCACCTGTTACTTATAAAATGGCCTTTTAGTCTGTATACAAACTCCCTTCTTCAGCATATGATTTCAAAGAAATTTGTTTAGTAAATCACATTATTGAAGAATAACTAGCATGGCATGTGATGCTACATAGCTTCAGGCAGGTCTGTCAAACACCATCTGCTCTGTGCTGAAAATATAAGTTTATTAAAGTTTATTTATTTAAGTCCTTAAATACTCTTATTTTATTGTTGCTCTGTGATAAATTTTTGGCCTTCATTCCTAGAAGGGATAGAAAGGAATTTATTGGTTTCCTGAAAAAATGAAAAAGCTTGGTATTGAGCCATTTGCCATTTCTCTGTTAATCTTTCTCTGCAAAGAGAAGAAAGATACTTTGGGATGAAAAGGGAGTAAAAATTGCTGCTGGCATTGGGTTAAAAGGAGAAGGAGGAGAAATGCACAGAACTCCTTGAATGCCAAAATATCTATATTCAAGTTCCTATGGACAGAATTACATCTATTCATGGTGTAATGAGGAGAACTTTGCAACAGGAGAATATATTAATCAAGTCCCTGATTTCTTGTGACCATGAACACCATTTACACCCTCGAGATATTTTCAAACAATTTTCTCAGTCTGAGTTGCTTCCATTCTAATTTCCTTAGAGCTGTTCCCTGCCCATCTGATTTATTTTCAGTTCAGGATGAGCCAATTCCCACAGGATGTGACCAGGGGCTGGCTGTGCTGGCTGTAGACTGCCCCAGATCAGGAGAGGATCTTCCACTGCATTTCTACCCCCAGGCTGCAGGCCCCTCAATGTCAGAATATAACATTCAAGAGTTTTTAAGCCTGATTTGCCACCTGACATGAGAATTTGCATAGTTTCTCAACACAACCATGTCTGGTAGTGGAAGAATTTAAGGTACTGACTGTTCTGCTACTCCAGAAAATGCCTATAGTCTCAACCAGTGCCAGCAGTATTACCTGAACAACAAAGAAAGAACACAGAAATTTATATCAAACAAAGTCTGAAAAGCCTTACAGGTAAAACTGCATGGTATTAAGGCTAAAATTTATTTATACAGGGAAACTCAACTTCATTTGGTTAGGAAATGAAATCAAATAAGAGCAAAATGCACTTAAGGACAGTGAGAAATTTCAGTATCTGCTGAATGACAGAAAGATCTCTGCTAAGGTATAGCACTGGTTTTCCTTTTTACAAAGACCTTTGCCTCTCCTTCCATTTTTCATTTTTACACTTTATATTGTTAGAGTAAAATATTAAACTCCCAAAATAAGTATCACAACTATTAAGGACATTTACATCCCACAATTTGCTCATTACAGAACACTTTTGATCAGCATGAGGTTCTTAACAGGACATTTCTCTACCCCTAGAGAATTCACAGAACCAAGACAAGGACAGTCAGGCCAATCAGCCCAGAGACTTTGGTGCATTTTAGATGAGATATGCTCAACCTTGGAGGAAGATGCTCCAGACTGGAACTGTACTGTTCGTTTTTAATAATTACAGATACCACTAACGAGGAAATCACAGAGCTCAAATTTCAGTGGATGAAACAGATGAAATTCCTACTACCAAAATTATTATGATAAGGACAGATGTTATTGTAATGAATATATTTGCACTGAAAAGTTAGGATCAGCTAGAGATGTTGGGGGAGCAAAAGCAATATTCCGAGCACGTTATTAGTAAAAAAATCCCAGATGAACAAGGCTGACAATGGTAAACTGTAAAAGAAGGGAATGCAATGACAAGAAATACACAAAAAGTGGGGCAACTGCAGGTTGCAAAAGAATATCACAGACAAAACCCCAATGTGTATCACAAGTAAAGGTAAAATTCTTGGAGAACACTATTTTCCTTTAAAGTTCATAATTCAAGCTTACGCTTTCAATTAAACAGTAACAATATTAATGACAACCATCTATGTAAGATGTTTTGGAACCACCATTTTCAGACATTCCTCTTTTTCTCTCTGCTGCTTCAGATGTAAGCCAAAATATCTGACAGAGTCAATCTCCTCAAACATCAACCGTGTTGCATGTCCAAGACACCCTCACTGTTGTTTCAAGTAATTCAGCCTCCAGGAGACAGCTGGAAAGATTATCTATTGATCCAAAAGCTACCAAACACTGATCTATTGTTATATTTTCATCATCCCCTAGGTAGAGGGCTCCATTATTTACAGGTTATTCAGAACTTCAATATCACAATGTTTTATTAAGGTGTAAATTGCT